CAAGCCGCTGGAGACATCCCCACAAAACGGCCGCGAACGGGACCTTGAGATAGCCCCTCGGCAGCTCCCCTTAGGGACGTGAAATTTAGCGCTTCGCTCGAGACATCCTCCAACTCTGCTCCGAAAGCGAAGGATGTTGGGACAGAAAACAGGCAAACCGCTTGAGACATCCCCACACAACGGCCGCGAACGGGACCGTGAGATAGCCCCTCGGCAGCTCCCCTTAGGGACGTGAAATTTAGCGCCTCGCTCGAGACATCCTCCAACTCTGCTCCCAAAGCGAAGGATGTTGGGACAGAAAACAGGCACACCGGTTGAGACATCCCCACAAAACGGCCGCGAACGGTGCGTGCGTGAGTCTCAGCATGTGTAAGTCTGAGCAGGAGCAGGTCTGAGTATGAGTCGGTCTGAGTATGAATCATTTTGTGTGTGAGTAAGTCTGTGTAAGTCTGAGTGTGAGTAAGTCTGAGTACGAGTAAGTCTGGGTATGATGAGGAGAGGAGAGGAGAGGAGAGGAGAGGAGAGGAAAAGAAGAAGAAGAAGAAGTAGAAGGAGGAGGAGGAGTAGGAGGCGTCCAAGACATAACAAGAACCCCATCTTAGGATATGGGGAACAAACAGGCCAACCGCTTGAGACATCCCCACACAACGGCCGCGACCGGGACCGTGAGATAAACCCCTGGCGGCTCCGCCTAGGTGGGTGAAGATGAGCGCTTCGCTCGAGACATCCTCCAAATCTGCTCCGAAAGCGAAGGATGTTGCGACAGAAAACAGGCAAACCGTTTGAGACATCCTCACAAAAACGGCCGCGAACGGGACCCTGAGATAACCCCTCGGTAGCTCGCCTTAGGGATGTGAAAGTGAGCGCCTCGCTCGAGACATCCTCACAATCTGCTCTGGTAGCCAAAGATGCTGGGACAGAAAACACGCACACCGCTTGAGACATCCCCACAAAACGGCCGCGAACGGGGCGTGCGTGAGTCTCACCATGAGTAATTATGACAGGTCTGAGTATGAGTAGGTCTGAGTAAGAGTAATTTTGTGTGTGAGCAAGTCTGGGTATGGGCAGGGAAGGATAGAGGGAGGGGAAAAGGAGATGGAAGAGGACAAGGACGCGGAAAGTGATGAGGATCATGATCAAAAGAGGGAGGACGGGGAGAAACAGGAGAAGGACGCTTTTGGAGGAGGAGAAGGATGATGAAGAGGGACCAGGGAGGGCAGGAGGAGGAACAGTCAGAGGACGATGATGAGGGAGGAGGAGGGGGAGGACGACGTCGAGGAAAACGAGGAAGTGGACGAAGGGGATGACAAGGCAGAGGACCAGTGCAAACCCAAGACTCGCCAGCGATGTTGGAATGACCCCTCCTTCCTGTCTCCTTCGCAGGCCCCCACAAGGGTTTATGTCCACTGGAGGAAGCGCTCTATTGGAAGGCAACCGTATGGAGAGGAAGAGGACCGGTGCACACCCAGAATTCGCCAGCGATGTTGGAAGAACCCCTCCCTCCTGACTCCTTCGCATGCCCCTAAACTGATATGTTTCCACTGAGGGAAGCGCCCAATCGGAAGTCAACCGTTTGAAGATCCTGAAGTGTGCCAAAGCAGCCTTCTTGGGACCCCAGCGCTACGAATCAACCTGGCGGTTGTTGTTTGACGGTCCAGAATCGTGCCGTAACACCGCACTTGGTATTTCAACACCGCGAACCAACCTAATCGTTGCGCCCTGACAGCCCTGATTCGTTCCAAACCACCGAAACCATGTCAGGCACGCTAACCAAGGGAATCTGTGAAACCCTTGCACATGTTTCAGACGAGTGCGCGCGGCGCTAAGGCGGGAGCCGCATTTTGAAATTAACCGCCCTCAACCCGTGACGCTCTTGCATGTTTTGTTTGTCTTTTCTAACAAAAAACAAGAAGCGAATATGCGCGGCGCGAAGACGAGAGCGACATTCGGGCATCCGCCCGCTCTCAATCCGTTACACTAGTTGCAACGTTTGTATGTGAGTGTGCGCTGGCTTCAAGGTGAGACCGCATCTTGAGAACGGCCCGCCCTCAATCCGTGAAGATCTTGCATGTTTGTAACGGCTGTGCGCGGCGCCAGGGCGATAGCCAAAGTTCGAAAACGACCCGCCCTCAATCCGCGAAACTCTTTGCAATTTTGTAATGCGAATGTGCGCGCGTGAAGACAGGGCCACATTTTGGAAGCGATCCGCCATCCATATGTGAAACTGTTGCCAGCTTTAAAGGTTCAGCGCCATAAATCGCACGGAAGGCTCAGGCGAACAGCCTGGTCCGCCCTTTCGACTGCCTTCGGAGTGCGAGGGGGGGGGGGGGGAGTTGTTTGTAAAGCAAATGAGTAGAGGGGCATGACGATGAGGGGGAGGGAGAGGGAGTCAGTAGGGAGAGCTCGGATCCAAGCGGGAGAAGGCATGAGGGATGGCAGGGAAGAGGAGGAGCATGCGCATGAGTAGAAGATGGCGGAAGATGGTGGACGGACACAGGAGGAGGAAACAGTTCGAAGGCAGTGAGGAGTTTCCGAGTTCCCTGGCGACGCTGACAACAAACCGTGCACGTCATTCTGTGCTGCCGAGTCTTGTGGCCTTGGGCCACAGCCCCGTGCGACGCAGGACGTCGGCACAGACTCGGCGGTCATGTCCAGCGAGTGGGTCAGAGCGCAGCCGGATTCCGTATTCTGCTCCAGCCTGCGAGTGTTCGAGCGCGATGCGCCCGGCATGGCCCTGGCCCAGAAGAGCCAGATCGGAGCGGGCTGCGGTAACCCTTTGCTAACAGGGCTTCCTTCTATGCGGACGGCCGAGGCGCGGGCGGAAGGGGCCATCATGCGAGCGACGCAGACACGCGGGGCCGACTGCGCGCACATGCCCGCGCAAGTTGCCTGCGCAACAGGGCGCGCAAGCGCCGCCGCTTCCAATATGGCGTGCCGCGCTGGCGGCCTGCGCACGCCACCGCGTAAGATCGCTGTGTCATGGTACGCAGGTTCCCTGCATCCCTGACCTTCCAGAGTGCTAAGAGATAACGCTCCAGACCCACAGATCTGTATCTGGACTGCCTCGAACCTCGACAGAACTCAGGACGTCGACGTCCTGGTGCCCTTCTGTTAGCCCTCCTGGAAGGTCCAGGGTTGTCGTCCCTCCTGTGGGAGCTGCAGGGCCTGCTCGCAGCTGCCAGCGAGGCGGCAAGCGCTCCACGAGGTGCAGGCGGCACTCCCGCGGCCGCTCCAGCGCACGCGGCAGGGCCGATCGCCTTCCACGGAGGGCGGCGCTGACTACGCGCACGCTGCAGGCGCCGAGGGAAAACCCGGCGGCACCACCGACTCTGGGTTTTGGGCGTTCGGCAATGGGGGGGCGATAAAGGGGGTGAGCGTCGAAGGTTGCACGAAAGGAGCCCTCAAGGTGCCCTAAACGAGCCCCCTAGGGCCCCGAAGGGGCACGAAAGATGCACAAGAGGTGCACCTTTCGTACCCCGCATCTATCGCCCCCCCATGAAGGATTGCCCGAGGGTTTCTTCGGACGACGTTCGGTATGAGGCAGTGCTTCGCCGTCGGGGACGCTTGTCCCAGGTTGCTTGGGAAGTTGCATGGCGCAAACATCGCAGAGCGGATTTCGTTCGGAAGACGACAGGGTGGGCCCAGAGTGCCCTGGAGAGTTTCGTTCCGGATTTCGCTGTGAGTTTCGCGCAGATTTTTTTGGGTCCAGGAATGACGACCAAAAATAATCCAAGCGAAGTTCACTTCGTTTTTCGCTCGCCGCTTCGGGCAAACATCCACGCAGAAATCCACGCAGAAATCCGCTGCAGCACGTCTGTAAGGCCGGCGCAATGAGAAGATAATGCCCCGTTGCCTTGAGACAGGCGCCGCCGATTGCGAACGTCGAAGAGCAACAGACGGCATGCACAAACGTCCAGACCTCCGCGCGGATTTAGATCGGCGCGGGCCCGCCTCTCGGCGCCACCGGCGCCGCCCGTGGCGCGCTCCGCGCGCGAGGGAGGGAGGACATCGCCAGTTCTGGCCCACCATCAAGGGAGGAAAAACCACCCGGACAGGACAATTGGCGTTTACTAAACGGCCTTGGGCGTTGACTAGACGGCCCTGCCCTGTTCGACTCCTTTAGTGGGGGCGCTTCGCGTGTCGGGGTGGTTACGATGGGGGTGGATGTTTCGCCCTCTACACCACGCCTCGGCGCGACACGGACTCCACATCCCCGCTCCCTAGCGTCAACGCCCCGAGCTGTTCTCCGCCTCCCGCCCCGCGGAGCGGAGCGACACGCTACCCGCTTGCAAGGCGCAGCGTGTCGCCAGGGCCGCCGTCGCGACCCGCCAAGCAAACGCTCCCGACCGATTTTCATACATGTCCTCGCCCGCTGAATTGGGGCAACGGCCACCGGCGCCGTGCAGTGCAGCAAGCCAATCGGCCTACGCGGGAGGCTGGCCCAGGGAGGGCGCCCTCTCGCCTCCACGCGGCCGCCCTCCCCATAATGGAAGGGGCGGCTCGACGCAGCTCTCCAGACATGCTCGCGCCGTGAAACAATCACGACGGAAGGTTTTTGGCCATGTTCGGCTTCTGGCGGCCCTCGCCTTGCCCTGGGACCGTCAAAAGGTGACCCCAGATGAAAAACTAGCCCACTGGGAGAGGGTCGGGATTTCCGGGGACCGCGTATTGAAACAATCCAGACCGCATGTCTGGGTCGTTCTATTCTGTTTCGTGGATGGCCCGGTTTGCTGACAGTTGGCCGCCGCAAGAAGGTCTGCTAGGTTGAAGATGGCTCAGGGTCCTAGCAGTTGGTAGAGTGGTGCAGACGCAATCAGTTTGACGAGAGAGGAAGAGCTTGACAAGGAGACGTAGGAGGAATAGGAGGGGAAGAGGAGGCCAAGGAGGAGAAGAAAGTATGTTAGGAGAGCGAAAAAGAGGAGGAGGGGGAATACAGACGGATAACTATGGATTTGGAGGAAACTTGGGATCACACCCAGCTGCCGCGTGCGACCCGTCAGGCGAATCTCGCAGAAAGTTCCCGAGTACGGCCACCTGTTACTCGATTCTTTTTACCCAGGATCCAGATCTGGCGCTGTCTCCCCCATGGCTTTTCCTACGTTTGTCTTCCGTTTGTTCGCCTGCATTGGAATTCTGACTGATAATGGACTTTTGCCTTTTCCACCCCCCCCCCCGCCGCCGTCTACGACTCTGCCATTATGCGTGTCTATGTCCTTCAGTTGTTCTATCTGTGTGTCGCTCTGTCTCAGCTTTTTAGCCTATCTTTCTCCCTGTCTCTCCACATTCCTCTCTCTCTCTCTCTCCCTCTCTTTGCATGTATATACATGTACCTGTTGATGCGAATGTTTTTCCATTCGGCGTTTCGACCTTGGGCGGAAGGGGGGGGAGGAGGGGGGGTCTGTCTCCGGACCTCTGCTTAATGCGACTGTTTGCAACAGTGCGTCTTACGTGGGAGATCCCACCTGCTGGAAACAGGCGCAAAAAAACAACCAAGATCTGTTCCATGGGAGGGGGGAGAAGGGGTGCGAGGGCCCCCACCGATCGGCAAAACAATGAATTAGAAAACGATCACTATCTGTCTCTCCCTTTCTCTTTTTTTTTTTTTTTTTTCTCTCTCTCTCTCTCTGTCTTTCTTCCTTTATTTCTCTCTCTCTCTCTCGCTCTCTCTATATATATACATTCCTATGCGTGCGTATACTCAGACTGCTTACCCACCCAACCCACGTGTGCACAAACGCATGTATAGAAACACCCGTGAACGCCATGTATAGTTACATAGATGTGTGTATACTCGTGGCGCGTGCGTGCCCATGATCATACAAGACGCAATTGGGGGGCGCCGATGGGGTTGCAACAGCTTCCGATTAGGCGACACTTTTGAGAAGCTCCATCAGGAAACATTGACTTTAGGCTATAGCAGAAAAGCGATCACCACAGGGGACCAAACAATCGCATATGCTTGGCTAGAAGTGTTCTGGAGCAGCGCTGACTTGCATTGTGTTTTGAAGGCTGCCTCGTGCAATGCTAAAGCATCACGCAGACAACCATTAACAACAGCCGTTGCTGCCTAAACAATGTTCGACATGTTTGGAACCCAGTGTGTTTTTGAAACTTGCATGCGAAGGCGTTGCGAGCCCATTGCGTTTGTTGACACTGGCGTCGCGATCTGCGTGACGGGAGCTTCCGACGGTCAGGGTGATGAGGGTGCTTTGACCGCAACAGCCAGCCTTTTTGCGGACGGGGTTGCCAATCGCTTCTGAGGTCGTCTCATCCAGAGAGGTGCGAATGACAATATCTATACATCAATCCCCCTCTCTCTCTCTTGCTCTCTCTCTCTCTCTTTCCTATCTTACACTCTCTGTGTGTTTGTTCTCCCTATCTTTCTCTTTCTCTCTCTTTCTTTCGCTCGCTTTCTCTCTCTCTCTCTCTTTCTCTCCCCCATTCGAGATGATCAATATTCGACTTCATCTCCTTATTAGTATATTCCTTCTTAGTATTCATATGATTATCCCTCTTCCTCCCTCCCTCTCTCCCTCTCCTCCTTCCTCCATCTCTCACGCCCCGCTCTCTCCCAAATTGTTCTCTATCTCTCTCTCTTTCTCACTCTCCCTCCCCTTTTCTTGTATGTGTATAAATGTATGTAAAATGCACTCGCGCAGGTTTTACACACACACACGCATACACTCTCACATACTCGCACACTCGTATACCTACGTATGAGTAGTTACTCATGTCTACAGCAACAATTATCACATACGGAGGAGTAGTGGGGAGGAGGAGGGGGATGATAATAATGAAAATGAAGAGAACGAGGAAGGGCAGGAGACAAAGTAGGATAACAAGGAGCTGGAGCAGGAGGATGAGGAAGAGAACAAGGAGGAGGAGGAGGAAAAGAAGGACGAGGAGGAGGAGGAATGAAATGGATGAGGAGGAGGAGGAGGAGGAGGAGGAAGGGGGGGAGACAGAGGAGGAGGAGGCAGAGGAGGAGTTGGAGGTGGAGGAGGAGGAATAATAATAAGAATAGAACGCGGAGAAGGAGGAGACGAGGAGGAGGATGAGGAGGAGGAATGGGAGGAGACAGGAGGAGTAGGAGGAGGAGGAGGCGGAGGTGGAGGAGGAGGTGGAGAGGGAGGAAAAGAAGGAGACAGAGAAGGAGGAGGGGGGGGAAGAAGGGAATGGGGAGGGGGTGGGAGGGTAGAGGCTGGTAGAGGGAGGAGTACGCTGTGGAGGGACTCGGAACTCGATGGCCGATCCGGTCTGCAACCGACCTCGAGAGTTGCACACCCCAGGCAACGATTCCAAACTGAGCAGCAACAGGAGAGAGGGGGCGAGGGAGGAGCAGAGGGTGGAAGAGGACCAGTGTTAACCCAAGAGTCATCAACGATGTTGGAATTTACCCTCCCTCCAAGCTCCCTCTTCATAGGCCCCCACAACGGTTCATTTTCATTGAGGGAACTGCCCCGTTGGAAGACAACCGCTTGAAGATCTTGAAGCATGCCAAAACATTGCTCTCGGGATGTCCACACCACGGATCAACCTGACTGCTACGTTTTGACGCTGTGGAATCGTAGCAAAAATCTTTTTTAAGAGTCAATACCGCGAAGCAGCATCATTGTTGCACCCACATAATCCTGAATCCTTCCAAAACGCAGTGTTTGGTACGTTGATCATGGGGGCCCGCGAAACTCGTGCAATTGTTTAAGACGAATGTGCGCGGCGCTAAGGCGAGAGCCACATTTTGAAAAGGAACCACCCTCAATCCGTGAATCACTTGCAAATGTTTGAAGCGAGCGCGCGCGGCGCTAAGGCGAGAGCCACATTTTGAAACCCACACGCCCTTTAAACGAATGTGCGCGGTGCTCAGGCGCGAAGGCGAGAGCAACATTTTGAAAACGACCCGCCCTCCATCTGTGAAACTGTTACCATTTTTACAAGCTGCAGAGTAATAAATGGTGAGGAGGTCTCAGGCGAAACGCCCGGCCTGCCCAACAAACCGGCCGTGGGGCGCGACCCGGAGAGGTCATTCATAAGGAAAAGGAATGGAGGAGGAGAAGGAGGAGGAGGTGGAGGATGAGGAAGGGAGGAGGAGGGGGCAGAGGAGGAGGAGGAGGAGGAGGAGGGGAAGTGCAAACCCAAGAGTCATCAACGATATTGGAATAAGCGCTCCTCCAAGCTCCCTCTTCAATGGCCCCTACAGCGGCTCATTTCCACTTGGGGAACTGCCTCGTTGGAAGACAACGGTTTGAAGACCCCGAAGCATGCCAAACCAATATTATCGGGACCCCAACGCAACGGATCGACCTGATTCTTGCGTCTCGACGATTCTGAATCGTGCCAGAAGCCATTCCTGGGACTTCAACACCACGAATCAGCGTAAGTGGCGTGCCCTCATAATCCTGAATCCTTGGCCATGGGAGTCCGTGAAACTATTGCTCTTTTCTGTGTTAAGGAATGTGCGTGGCGCTCAGGCGAGAGCCACATTTTGAAAACAAGCCGCCTTCAACCCGTGAAGCTCTTGCAAAGTTTCACACGAATGTGCGCGGCGCTACAGCGAGACCTACGTTTTGAAAACGAGCCGCCCTAAATCCGTGAAGCTCCAGCAAAAGTTAAAACAACGAATGTGCGCGGCGCGAAGGCGAGAGCCACAGTTCTTTGAACGACACGCCCTCCATCTGCGAATATGTTGCCAATGTTTGAGCGTCAGGGTCATACGTGATGAGGAAGTCTCAGGCAAAACGCCCGGTCCGCCCTTTCGACTGGCTTCGGGGTGCGACAGGGGCAAGTTGCTCACCAATGAAGGAGTGGAGAAGGATGAAGAGGAGGAGGAGGAGGAGGAGGAATAGGAGGAGAAGGAGGAGGACCAGTGCAAACCCAAGAATCGTCAACTATGTTGGGATAAAGGCATCCCCCAAGCTCCCTCTTAACAGGCCCCATACAACGGTTCATTTCCAGTGAGGGAACTGCCTTGTTGGAAGACAACCGTTGGAAGACCTTGAAGCATGCCAAAACACTGCTCTCAGGATTTCAGCGCCACGGGTCAACCTGGTTGTTGCATCTTGACGATCCTCATCCGTTCCAGAAAGCCATTCATGGGACTTCAACGCAGGGAATCAACTCAACGTAACCGTTGCGCCCGCATTATCCTGGGTTCTTCCGGCACCATTTCTCGTACATTGGTGATGGGAATCCGTGAAAACCCGGGCAACTTGCGTCCATGAATGTGCGCGGCGCTTGGGCGAGAGTCCTAGTTTGAAAAGGAACCACTCTCAATCCGTGAAGTTGTTGCAAATGTTTGAAACGAATGTGCGCCGCGCCAGTGCGAGAGCCACATTTTGAAAAGGAGCCGTCATCAATCCGTTAGAGTCTTGCGACTGTTTGCAACGAGTGTTCGCGGCGCTGAGGCGAGAGCAACCTTTTGAAAACCACCCGCCCTCACTCCTTGCATCTGTTTGCCAATGTTTAAAACGAATATGCGCGGCGTGAAGGCGAGAGCAACATTTTGAAAACGACCCGCCCTTCATGTGTGAAACTGCTGTCGTTCATTATGGTTCAGAAATCGTGAGGAAGTCTCAGGCGAAACGCCCATCCCGCCCTGAAAACTGGCCTCGGGGTGCGACAGGGAGAAATTGTTTATGACGAGGGAGAAGGGCTGGAGGAGGATAGTTGAACGAGGAGGAGGAGGAGGAGGAGGAGGAGGAGGAGGAGGAGGAGGAGGAAGAAGAGGAGGAGGAAGAGGAGGGGGACTGATCCTGCCATTGCTTTCGCTGCGCCCTATCCCCAGTTCTGGCGCGCTCGCTGCCGCCGATCCGAGCACGCCCCGCGGCGCCACCCGCCAGCCCGAGGACAGCGGCCGTCCGCCGAGGCTGCGAGAAGGGCCCGCGAACTGGTCGAGGAGAGCGGGCGTGCGCGGCAGGCTCGTGCCGTGCCGACGCGCCCCTTCGCCCCTCCTCCTTGCCCTCCTTCTCCTCGCCCTCTTCCTCCTCCTCCGCGGCCCGCCCGCGCCCCCCCCCCGCCGCAGGCGTTCAGGGTCGAAAAGTCGCCCGTGGCCCGGGTAGGTGGGCGGGTTCCCAGACCCCGTGACGTCGCGAAGTAATCACGACGGACTGTCTCTCTCATATTTTCAGCCTCCAGGGGCCCTCAGCGAACCCCAGGACCGTCAAAAACCGACTCACGATGAAAAGCTGGTCACCTGGAAGGGGTCCAGGCCTTTGGTGATCACGTCATGAAACAATCATGACGTCGGGGGTCTGGGTTTCAGGGGCAGGAACCTGGCCACGAATCAATATCCGCAACCGCCGCCGCGCAGAGTGTAGTGGACCTGATCCGGGGCAGGTTCGCGAGCGTGATGCTCCCGACGGCTGAGGTCGGTGCCGACCCCAAGCGGGGTCTTCCGTTCTTCAAAGCCGTGCAAGCCACTTCTGAGCAATGCGAAGCAGTGTAATTGACAGCATTGCTTGGCGTTGCTAGGCATTGCTGCTGCTTGGCATTGTCTAGCTTGCTCTGGTTTTCGGAATTGCGTTGAATATTTGCTTGGCAACGCTGCGCGTTCCTTGGCAATGCTGTACGCTACTTTGCATTGCTTGGGGTTGCTTGGCACTGATTGGCCAAGGAACCCCGAGGAATCCCGAGGTACCCCAGGCAACGTTGGGCCAGTGGCCGAGGACCCCCAAGGAACCTCGAGGATCCCAGAGGAAGGCAGCAAGGACTCAAGACCAGGAACTCCGAGCAACACCGACCGCCGCCTTGGAAGTGTGGCCCCGCATCCGCCAGTTCCGTTCACAAAGCAAGTAGGAACATCCTGGAGCAGAACACATAATGGAGGATGACGATTAATAAATGACCGGGGGTCGTGTTCACGCGGCGGCGCCCGGGATGAGGATTAGAAAAAACCGGCTGCGGACTGGAAAACTATGTTTTTTTTTAGTGTTTTTGTTTTCATCGTTCTCCTCCAGTCAGAAAATTGCGCAGCTTTAGCAGGAATCTATTTTTTTAAATCGTTCCCCCTTCATTTTTTATTAATCGTCATCCCGCATTACTTGGGGAACCAGGGAACCGGAACTTTTTACGGCCCCTTGCGGTAACAAGGCTCACGGCTTCTGGCCGGCGTCGAGCCCATTTTCTAAGGATTTGTTTTGCCGCTTTGCTCCTTTGAACTATTTGGGTTTTGTACCCTCTATGGGTCGTTGCCCCCTCCTCGTGGGTTCCCCGGGGTTTCGGTGGCCGAGTGCGTGGTGGTTGTGCCTCTTGCCCCTGGTGCGTGTTCCAAATGGAGGAAGTGCGCCAGTGGATCTCCCTGAATACACTAAAGGGGGAAGGGTCCACAACCCCCCCCCCTTCCCCCCTTCGAGGGGGGGGGGTCCTGAGCCCCCCCTTCCCCCCTTCCCCCCTTAAGGGGGGGGGTCCGACCCCCCCCCACTCCCTTGAAGGGGGGGGGGGCCCGGATCCCCCCACCCCCCTTTGGCGCTGAAAGGAGGGGGGGTCGGACAGTAGGGAATGGGGAGTAGTGTGTACTGACTTGTGAGTAGTGAGTGGCGGGTAGTGAGTAGTGAGTAGTGAGTAGCGAGTAGCGAGTAGTAAGTAGTGAGTACTCAGTAGGGAGTAGGGAGTAATGAGTGGTGGGTAGTGAGTAGTGGGTAGTGAGTAGTGGGTGGCGAGTCGTGATTAGTGAGTACTGGGTAGTGGGTAGTGCGTAGTGCGTAGTGCGTAGTGAGTAGTGCGTAGTGAGTAGTGAGTAGTGAGTATTGAGTTGTGAGTAGTGAGTAGTGAATAGTGAGTAGAGAGTAGCGAGTAGTGGGTAGGGAGTAGGGAGTAGGGAGTAGTGAGTACTGAGTAGTACGTAGTGCGTAGTGAGTAGTGAGTAGTGAGTAGTGATGAATAGAGAGTAGTGGGTAGTGGCAGTGGGTAGTGTGTAATGAATAGCGAGTAGGGAGTAGCGAGTAGTGAGTAGTGAGGAGCGAGTAGGGCGTAGTGAGTAGTGAGTAGTGAGTAGAAAGTAGTCAGTAGTGAGTAGTGGATAGTGATTAGTGGGTAACGACTAGGGAGTAGCGAGTAGTGAGTAGGGAGTAGGGACTAGGGAGTAGGGAGTAGGGAGCAGTGAGTAGTTCGATGTGGGTAGCGAATAGTGGGTAGCGAGTAGCGATTAGTGAATAGTGAGTCGTGGGTAGTGAGTAGTGACTAGTGACCAGTGACTTGTGACTAGTGACTAGAGACTACGCAGTGGCTAGTGAGTAGTGAGTAGTGAGTAGCGGGGAGTGAGTAGTGAGTATTGAGTAGCGAGTATGGGAGTAGCGAGTAGTGAGTACTGAAAACTGTGCAGTCAGTATTGTCTAGGGAGCAGCGAGTAGCAAGTAGTGGGTAGTGAGTAGTAATTTGTGGGCAATGTGTAGTGAGTAGTGAGTAGTGGATTAGTGGGTTGTGGGTAATGGGTATTCATTAGTGAGTAGTGAGTAGTGAGCAGTGAGTAGTGCTCAGTGAGTAGTGAGTATTGAGTCGTGGGTAGTGAGGAGTGAGTAGTGAGTAGTGAGTAGGGAGGAGGGAGTGGTGAGTAGGGAGTAGCGAGTAGCGAGTAGTGGGTGGTGGGTCGTGAGTAGTGGATAGGGAGTAGCGAGTCGCGAGTAGTGAGTAGGGGGTAGTGAGAAGTGAGTAGCGATTAGCGAGTAGTCAGTAGTGGGTAGTGAGCAATGAGTAGTGAGTACTCTTTGGGGCTGGGCTTAGTGGTTGGGGTTAGGGTTAGGGGTTAGGGGTAGGGTGAGGACTAGGATTAGGGGTGGCGGGGGTCGGGTTCCGGAGTCAGTGGGCGGAGGGGGGGGGGGGGGTGCGGCCAAAGGGGGAGGAGGGGGGGGGTCGGACCCCCTCCCCTTTTGAAAGGGCGGGGGGAGGGGGGGGCTTCCCCGACGACGGATCGGGGAAAGGGGGGGGGGGCCCGACGACGGATCGGGGAAGGGGGGGAGGGGGGGGGGTCCCCGACGACGGATCGGGGAAGGGGGGGGGGCCCAACCCCCCACCCCCCCTTGGGGAGATCCAGCGGCGCACCCTCCCCAAATGGACTCCCGGGCAGACGCAGCACTCAGCAAGAACAGCTCTCCTCCCTCCGCTCCTCGTCAGTCCTCCTCGCTCCTCTTTTCCCCTCGCTCCTCCCTCGACCTCCCTTCCCACCACTTGGGTCCACTCCCGACAAAGAGCGCCGCCCAGACCTGCGGGGCGGCCTCCTCCTGGCCCTTGTGGTTTCTCCCTCCCCTTTCGCTTCTCCTCTGCAGCCCACCTCTTCCGCATCCCACATCCTGCTCCCGTCCCGCCCTTCGAGGAAGAAGACATGAGCGACGCAACAAAACGGGGTCGTCATTCGCCGGCACCGGCGCGCAAGCTGCCCGCGTCAGGTCGCGCGTCGGCGCCCTCGTCTCCAATGAGGCGTGCCGCGCTGGCGGCCCGCGTAAGCCGCGGCGTGAGGTCGCTGCGTCACCTCGCGTGAGACCCGCTTCGTTCCGTCGCCCACGTGACACGGAGTTCCGTGCGGATTTTTCCTCGACCTTCGCTGAGCCCCCGCGTGGCGGCGCCTCCAGATCGCCGCCCGCGGCGCGCTGCACAGGGCGGGGGAGGGGCCCAACGTCGACCCAGGAAGTCCTCGCGGGCCCGAGGAAGTGTCCGTGGTGCCGTTTTCTCTGTGGCTGTCCACACCACCCCTTTCCACATCCCACCTCCTCTCCTCCGGGCGCCGCCCGCCGAAGGAGAGCAGAAGTGCGAAGGACCCGCGCCAGTCTCTGCAGCTGCTCGCGGAGGCTCGCTGCCCTGCACGCCGCTAAGCTGCACTCGCACCGAAGAAGCATTTGGGGTTCCCAGAGGACTGAGCGCGATGCGATGGCAGCGTCCTTCGCGTATGGATTTGGCCAGCTCACGGCCCTCGAAAGTCGCACACCACAAGTTGCGCGCAACCGATGGGATGGCCTCGGGGCATCTTGCGGGGTTTCCCGCCCCGAGTGCTTGGCCCTCTTTCCCGTCGCTTCGCGGGCTGGATGCGCCAGTGTTTCGCACAGAGTGTGGCTCCCCAGCGGGGTGAGTGTGTGTGTGTGTGCGTATGGGTGTTGTCCGACCTCGCTGCTCCCTCTCTCTCTCTCTCTATTCGCTGTTTTTGTTTGTTTCTCTCTCTCTCTCTCTCTTTCTTCTCTCTCTCTCTCTGTCCTTTTTTCTTTCTGCATCTCCCCCTGAGTCATATGTGCGATGGGGCTCTGTCGCAAACCATGGCAGCACGCTGGTGTCGAGCAGCCGACGTCCGAAACGAGGTGTTTAGCTAAATGGATCGTTTACGAATGCCCCCACACATCTGCACTTGAACATTCAGTCCTTGTCTACGCTCACGAAACATTTCTGAGCACTCGTGCCAAATCAGCAAGCAAGAGAAAAAGGAAGAGCGAGAGAGAGAGGTAGCGAGACTACACATACGCATATGCACACTCATAATACATGTCGCCCTGCCGTTTGTCTTCTCGCGCGGCCTTACGTCTTGCGGAGAGTGCCTCTGCCGCCAGGGCAAGCGTGGCCTCGGACGCGGGGTTTGCCGCGGGCATGCCGCGGTGCTGGCTCCGTCTACCTGGCGCGTTCAGGGCAGACTGCGCGGCACGTATGTACATGTTCACATCTATATCTGCATAGATGCAGAGGCAACGGGAGAGAGAGAGAGAGAGAGAGAGAGAGACAGATAGAGAAGGGGATAGAGAGAGAGAGACATAAGCAGAGAGAGAGAGAGAGGGAGGGAGAACACACACACACACTATATACACGTACGTGCACATATGTATACAGAGAGATCGATGGAGAGAAAGAGAGAGAGAGAGAGAGAGAGACAGAGAGAGAGAGAGAGACACACGGATCTAGCGGACAACCATTCTATGCGTACGAATCTCATATATATATAGAGAGAGATAGAGATGAAACCAAGAATGGCACAGCAGGATGATTGCTATTGTGAGCTTGTTCGGAACCCGCATGGTAAAATCCCAGAGGACATGAAACGCAGCATCCTTGTCTTCCTCCCCAAAAATATCCAAGACTTCGAAGTTGGCGAAGCGTTTTTTCGCGGTCCTGAGTCTACTCGGCCCTTGAGCATGGCCAACACTGGCCCGAAAATTATTTTGGCAGGAATGGCGAGGGTTCTCACCAACAAGATTGCATTGAAAGGCATCCTGCGGGCCCCTCAGAAATGTTTCAGAGGTCCGGACATGATGGTGAACTTACTTGAAGCCGGGCAGTTCTTGCTTGAAAAGCACTTGCGCGACCGGTACACATCCAGACTGGTGATGACTGATTTCGAATCTGCCTTTCCTTCGATTGCCATGTCGTGGGTACTAAATGTTCTTCATCGGTTCATGGGAATCCCTGACGCGATCGTAGCGTTCTTCGTGAAGCTGTACTCCGATAGTACTGGCGTGGTCACTCTCTCCGGGCGATGCTTTGGAGAATTTGCCGTTGGACGAGGAGCTCGTCAGGGGGATCCTTGCTCTATGCTGTTATTCCCTACCTAGGCTCTGCCTAGAGGGTTCTTATTCTGTTAGCTTGAAGGGGCCGGGTTGTGGACCACGCCTCCGGCGGTTCCCCTGGTCCCCGCCCCGCGGTTCCCCCAGTCCCCTGGGAGTTTTAGCTTTAGCTTTAGCTTTATCTTTATCTTTAGCTTTAGCTTAGCTTTATCTTAGCTTTAGCTTAGCTGTAGCTTAGCTTCAGCTTAACTTTAGCTTAGCTGTAGCTTAGCTTCAGCTTAGCTTTAGCTTAGCTTCAGCTTAGCTTTAGCTTTAGCTTTAGCTTTAGCTTAGCGTCAGCTTAGCATTACCTTAGCTTTAGCTTAGCTTTAGCTTAGCTTCAGCTTAGCTCTACCTTAGCTCTACCTTAGCTCTAGCTTAGATTTAGCTTAGCTTGAGCTTAGCTTTAGCTTAGTTTTAGCTTAGCTTGAGCTTAGCTGGAGCTTAGCTTCAGCTTAGATTTAGCTTAGCTTTAGCTTAGCTTTAGCTTAGCTTCTGCTCAGCTTTAGCTTAACTTTAGCTTAGCTTTAGCTTAGCTTTAGCTTAGCTTTGCTGTTGCTACTAATGCTGCTTTCCTAGGGGCTCCAACTTCTAGGTAGGGTCGCACTGGGATAATTTGTTTTGGCCATTGCGCCCATCCGTGCCTGGGTCCAGTGGCAACTGCCTGATCAGATTGAACTTTCTCTGGCATGTGCTGACGACTGGTGTTTTGGGCTACGGTGCCTGCTGGACGGCGTGAGGCCTCTGTTCGATCGTTTATGTTGCCTGCGGGGGGCCATTGGCCTCGCGCTGAACTTTCCCAAATGGCATATGCTTCTTGTGTATGCCAAATTGCATGATCTGTTGCAGGATCTTCTTGAGGAGATGGGTCACCCGTTCCCGCACCTTGAAATTGCAGTGCGGCTTCAATACCTGGGTATTTGGATTGGTGAGACGGCGGAGGAATGGGCGTGGAGGGGATGCATCACGAAGTTGATGAAACGCACCAGGGGGATCAGGGAACTTGGCCTTGGTCTTGCTCAGTCGATTATCCTGTTTCGCACGTTCTGTGTCTCAATCCTTTATTTTGTTCTCCAGCTTTGCCCGCCATCCGATGACCTCCTCTGCTCGTATAGTTCGTGTGTGCAGTTGCTCACGGCGGGCCCGAGCAATGCGCTGTCTTACACCATCTGCACGCATCTCTCGTCCCTTGGCATGCCGATCGAGTTCCCGTGTTTGTCATTCGTTTCCGCGGCGACTCGTGCGAGGTTCTTTGCCCGATGCGACGAACTCGCCAGGTTTCGTGACCAGTACAGTGCGATATTTGAAGACGATGACTGGTGCCCGGCTCGCCGTGAATGCGGCCGTGTTCCTACCTCAGTCATGATTATGTTCTTCCAGCTTCAAGATTGGACGCCGCCAAGAACTTGAACATCCAATTCGGAAGAGCGGATGTGCAAAAGCAATAGTTGGAGAAATTACGGCTGTTTTATCTGCCCGCTGACTCCCTTGTGATGGCCCTTCGTCGACGGATGCGGAACTGGCTTCTTGGGGTACGTCTCTTGGATCTTGCGCGGGTTATCAGATGCATCAAGCTTTCGGCGGCCCGTACCAACATGTACCTTCCACTAGCTATCCTCCGCATGTTGACCAGATGCGTTTGCACGAGCGCCTGGTTTCATTCTGCCCCCAGGGGTTGTATGACGGGCTGCCGCTCCGAGACTTACGATCTAGATGAGATGAAACACTACCAGTATTGTCCTCGTGCTCGGGCTCTTTTGGATGGGGACGTGGACCCCGAGGTCTTCTGAGGGTGCGCCCTGGATGGCCTCCTGCCTCCTTTTTTCCTGGGATGGGACCCGACCAGTGCCTGCTCGTTGCGATGTTACGCGATGCTTTCTTTAGTTCCCACCACGCCTTCCGCCCCCATCTCCCTGGGAGCCCAGCGCAGCATTTCGAAGCGCGCCTCCGAGTTCAAGCGAGGAGGCATCAAGCGTGCCGCAGAATCTGGGGCCTGCACCACCTTCCCTTCTTTCGCTGATGTTTCTTAAGGTTTCCGCAGCGGACGCAGTCAGCCAAGGGGTCGTTCACTCAATGTTTACCCCTACGTTTTGTATTTGTTCGCTCCTCCTCCCCTCCTCCTCTCAGCCTCCTCTTCCTCCTCCTCGTCCCCGTTTCTCCACCCCGTCTCATCGATGCGATGTGGGGGATTTTCGTATCGCACGATTTCGCTGAATGACCGTTCTCCTAAACAGTGGCGAGACGCAGCGTGTTGGTTCCGTTTGTGCGGACTCGTTGTCTTGTTTATTCCGTGCTCTGGTCTGTCCGGTTCATCCCAGAAGCCCCCTGGAGGGGATGCGGATTACGTACGTTTCACGGTTGAAACAATTGTTGTCCGCGTCTGTCTGTCTGGGGGGGCAGGATTTGTCCGCCCTTGCCGGCGCGTGTTGCAGGCAACGTGGCTGAATCAATCGGCGTCGCGATGGAAAACAAAAGAGTGGCACAGCAGGAGAAGGAGGTTTCTGAGGAGGAGGTTCATGACGATGAGGACGACGAGGAGGAGGAGGAGGAGGAGGAGGAGCAAGAAGCCGATGCCCAGGTCGAAGACGGCGGAGGAGGAGCAGCCCCAAGAGCAGCAGGAAGAGGAGGGGCCACGGGGGATGATCGCTTTTCACAGATCACAGGCGGCGCTGCTCAATCCCCCAGACCCCGAGCTGCACCTCGAGCGCGCGCGGGCCCACGAGCGCTTCGAGAGCTTCATCGAGGCGCCCGCTGCCGCTGCGAGGGCGGGGGGGGGAGCTCGGGAAGCTGGAGGAGGGGAGGAGGAGGAGGAGGGAGAGGGGCGGAGGGAGGAGGAGGAGGAGGAGGAGGAGGAGAAGGAGGAGAAGGAGCATCGATCGGCTCGCGCCGCCACCGCGAGGGCGAGGGGATGAGGGGGAGGAAAACGGGGAGGATGTGGAAAGGGGGAGGGGGGAGAGCATCGTCAATGCTCCCGTTGCCACCGCTGCTCTCCCTCCTCTGCCGCGTGCCCTGGCCTCCCGCCTGCGCGTTGGCTGTCGTCAGCTTGCTTATCGTTCCCTTTCTCCCTCCCCGTCTTCGCGCAGCACAGACTGCTGTTTGCCGTCGACGGTGTGCGAAGCTGCCGGCCAGGCTTCGCGACAGGTCCGTGGCCGACCCTGAGGGCCGGAGGAAAGCAGGTCGCCCCCCCAAGAACAGTCGCCAGCGGCTTCGGATGCCTGTTCTGCTCGTGTCGTTTCGGACCCCTGGGGGGGGGCGGTTGTCGCCGCTGCGCGGTCTCCCTGCAGGCCAGTGGCGAGATTGTGTGTTCTGGTTGATGGGGACTCCCACTAGGGGCCGCATCCATAACAGCAGGGAGCGTAAAGAGGGTGGAGGGAATGTGGGGAAGGAGGAGACGGAACGGGAGAAAGAGGAGGAGGATGAGGAGGAGGACGAGGACGAGGATGAGGAGGAGGAGGAGGAGGAAGAGGAGGAGGAGCAGGACGAGGGGTAGGGGGAGGACGAGGACGAGGACGAGGACGAGGACGAGGATGATGACGAGGACGAGGAGGAGACGGAGGCGGAGGCGGAGGCGGAGGCGGAGGAGGAGGAGGAGGACGAGGGAAAAGGCGGAGGAGGAGGAGAAGGAGGAGAAGGAGGAGGGGGAGAGGGAAAAGGATGAGGAGGAAAAGGAGGAGGAGGAGGACGAGGGGTAGGGGGAGGACGAGGACGAGGACGATGATGAGGCCGAGAGGAGGCGGAAGCGGAGGCGGAGGCGGAGGAGGAGGAGGAGGAGGAGGAGGAGGAGGAGGAGGAGAAGGGAGGAGGAGGAGGGAGGAGGAGGAGGAGGAGGAGGAGGAGGAGGAGGGAGCAGGGAGGTTGCGTTGCCACTGCAGCTGCTCTCCTCGTCTCGGAGCGCGGAGGCCGACGTGTTTCTGTGTATGGTCGGTGCGTCTTTTCGAAGGTCATGGAGGCCCGCCGTTCTGGACGAATGTGTACATGTTGCCCCTGTCGGTCGTTCTCGATCAAGGCGCTCCACTGGAATATGGAGTCGGTGCGATGGGTCACGATACGAAGATACAAACATTCTCGGAAGGGACATCCGCATTAGCAGTGGCCTCATCGTCGTCCGTGCCCTTCACGCTAGAAGTGTTCAGGTGTTGTCGTTCCTCCTCTTCCCCCCTCCCCCCGCCTCCTCAGTCACCCCTGCAGAGTCTTCCTTGTCTTTGCACCAGCATCACCACCATCTTTATTTGATACTGCTGCGTTTGGCATGTCCCAGCTCATCTTTTCATCGCGATCATGTATCTCGTCTGGGTTTATCTCACTCTCGTTTTCTCTCTCTCTCTCTCTCTCTATATATATATCGTCTCTCTCTCACACAATTTGTTGTTTCTCTCTCTCTCTCTCTCTATTCGTCTTCCCTCTCCTTGTCTCGGCCAATAGTTCCTCTTTCTCCCGCCCTCTCCATGTCATAATCGCAGCAACAACTTTAGTGTGGAATGTGCTGGGGAAGGGGAAGGGAGGCCGCACGACCGCTACCGTCTGTGCTCAAGCTTTTGAGGGACATGCACGGTGCCGTCTCTCGATTCCTTTCGGACCTTTTTCGTGGCGCCTCACAGGCCCTGATAGTGTGGTCAGCCACTTTGACGGCCCCTCCTGCTTGCCCTCCGTGTGCTTGTGGGTGCTCGCCCACATACACCGCGTCGTGCCCGACAGCCGACGGTTCAAGTTTCCTGTATCTGATCAGTTCGTGGTGCAGTCACTCCTTGGTCGTCATCTGCGGTCTGCTTATGGGATCAGTTGTGGTGTCAGGAGTCTGGGGCTTGAGGTCTTTGACACGTGTGCTGTGGTGCCAACGACGGGACCGGTTGGTGCAGGCGTCTTCACCTGAGGCCTTCAGTTCGGCGGAGAAGTTTCGTCTGATCGCATCGCGACAGGCAAAGGCCGCCCTTCATAATGCCGCAATCAGGCGATGTTCATGCCGTTCGATATCGAGTCGGAGGCCTTGCGGTGTATCACGAACGTGTGGCGCTATTCGGCTCGCCGCCCTCCGAGGCTGCTATCGTGACTGTGGATGGTGATGTATATGTGGACACGGTGATTGTGGACGCCGATTGTGAGGAGACCAGGCTCATGCGCGGGCCCGGCGCTCCTCTCTACAGCGTGGCGGAGGCGAACGTGTACCAGTTCAGGGCTGCGCCGTCGGCGGCCGACACGTGGGGTCATCTTCGTACGGCTGGGTTGCTGCTGGGTGCCGCTTTGCCGCCTTCGCCATTCGTCCTGGCGGGCGGGATCGTGGCGGGCGCCGCTTGGGTACCGCAGGCAGTGCGGCTGGACAACCCCCCGCCATTGCCGCCGCTGCCGTGGTGCCCGCGGGCGGGGCCGCCCCCGGCGGCGCTGGCGCGGGCGGGGCGGGCGCGGGCGCCCTGGCTGCCGCGCTTGGCGTGCCGCTGCCCGTTGCTGCGGGCTCCTCGGCGGTTCCGTTGCGAGGAGTCGGAGGCCCCGTCGCTGATGCGGCTGCCCCACTCCCCACTGGGTGGAGCTTCGCCCGCCATCGTCGACAGGAGGGCCCGCGCCATCGCGACCGACAGCACGGGCCGTCGCCAGCCGGATTTCGCGATCGCCGCGAGGGAGGCCACCACGACGCCGATGGATGACTGGCCGGTCATAGGCCATCGGGCTACTCAGTGGTGCCTTGATCACATGCGCAGGAATGTTGGTGGCCCCCTCGCGTGGCACTCGAAGTGGAAGGCAGGGGCTCGACTACGGAATCCGGATGCGATCTGCCAGCAGCACGAGATAAGTTGCCGCCGGCTGGAGATGGCCTGCTGCTACGACCAGCTCGAAGCGTCAGAGTCGGCGGCATTCGAGCTGGTCAGTCGCCAGACCCAGCTCATCGAGAAGAGACACTACGAGGAGTCGGTGTCGGCGCAGGCGGCGGCCGAAGAGAAGAAGGACAAGAAGAAGGCTGCCATTGCCAGCGACGCGCTGCTGGCCGCGGAGGCCGACCATTACATGGGCGCGTCGTCGAGCAAGGGAAACTCGTGCATCTCTCCTGCTCTAACGGAGTTCATCGCGGAGCAGCTGACGGCGGAGGCTGCAGTGGCCAAGGAAGGGCGAAAAGCCCGCGAGGAGCGGGCGGCGCGCGCATTGGCCCTCGGAAGCTTCTCCCACGCAGGTGCAGGCGCTTCGGCGCTGCCTGGGCGAGCCCCTGCATATTCGTGGAAGTTTCGACGGCCATCAGTTTTGACATGGGGCCTGGGATCCGCCAGCGCGACACCTTCCCCTTGCCTGGTCCGGCGGTGGACGCGCGGGCTGAGGCTTGCCATAGTCGTCGCGGTCGGCGGCGGGCGCTGCGCGGAGCCGCTTGGAGGCGATGGGCTAACGACGGGACCTATGCCTTGAACCAGCTGAGTGGCCACGCGCCATCCCCGGCCCCCCCGCCGGGCCCGACGGCATCCGCGGCGCAGGAGGGCGCGATGAATCGCATCATCCAGTCGTTCCGGCGCTTCCCACATCCTTCTGACCATCGCGAGGATTTTCGTTTTGGCGAAGCAGCCCTGGCAGAGCTGCTCGCTTCGGCGCCCGGGTGCTCCGCCGTCTCCAGGCGCGTCGTCGGCCCCCGCGAGCGCCGTGGATCTCGTCGACCAGACCGAGTGCGAATGCGTGTCGGGATGGAGACGGACCCCGCTCAGATGCGCGGGCTCTGCTTCAGCCCCGGGGGCGGCCAACGCGCCGCAGCGACCATGCGTCGACCCTGTTTTGGTCAACAACCCCACGGCCTACGCTGGTTTCGTCTGGAAGTTCCTGCATGGTGGCATGATCAGCTCCCGTGTTGCGCAGGCTGCTGATCCATGCGGTTTGGGATTTCTGCGGCGTCGAGAAAGCTGGCAAGGGCTCGCTGAGGCTGGCGCTCGACATGCGGGTGGCGAACGAGGGTTTCGAATCCGAGACCACATTACTTACGGCCGCAGCTTGGGCCGTTCTAGAGTCGGAGCACCCCGCGGTGATCTTGCAGGCAACATCCATCTACCGCGTGCTGGTGCCCCCAGGTATTTTTTTTTTTTTGGGGGGGGGACTTCGCGCTTCCGACCGTCTCCAACCTTCTGCTGGGAATCGGGCAGCTCGAGGGGGGGCCGCTGGCCAGCGGCTGCGTCCTACATCCCATGGTTCGCGGGCTTCCCACGGGGTGGAGTTGGTCTCTACTCTACTGCCAGCGCATTCTTCGGAGTTCCGTCGTCCAGATCTGTTTCGATGATGGGTTCCTGATTGAGGATGGTCGAAGGAGCCCCGTGCTTCCCTCTCGGAGCTGCGCGGCTGCAGTTGGCGACGTCCACAGTTTCGCAGCCGCGGGGGGCGACGCGGCCATCGTCGCCGAGAAGCGGGGCATGATCGCTCGCACCCTGGAGGATTGGGGCCTGCCCGTGCACGCTATCGACGAGGCTTCGTCTGCCTCCACCTTCGCGGGTCTCGAGATCAACGGTGAGATGGGCACCGCGGGGGCGAAGCCGACCAGCGCCCTGCGGCTTCGGCGGGCGACCCTGGCGGTCTTGCGGCGAGGGGCTGCATCGCCTCGCATGCCCGAAGCTTTGCTGGGCCGCATCACTTGGGCGGGATTTGTTAAAGGGAGAGACCCCCCCCCGATTGTTCCCCCCGCGTGCGCCTTCAAGTCTCAGAAAGATCCTGGAGTGAGGCCCTCGTTGAGCTCGGTGAGGTTCGAGCTCTGGCGCGCGGCTAGCACGTTGCCTCTCTGAGCCCCCATGCC